TTTTTTTTGGGGTTTTTTTTGGGGGGGGGGGGGTTGGGGGGAGAGTTGTATAAAATGTTCATAAAAATCTGGTATTAAAAAAATTGCCTGTATGAACAACAATAGCTACAGGCAGAGTGTTCAGCCTGATCACACTAATGTTAAGTCCCAGTTCCTCTGCAGCTTCTTACAGCCATTATTTTTCCAATCCAATAGGTACAGTTCATACCTACCACCACATTTCAACATTCCCTTAACAAGTAAGAGGGAGTAGTGCACTCTAGTGGTATGCTCCCATACCCTGCCATCAGGGAACAGAGTCCTAATTTCAGCTCTGTTACTGACCCACTACACAAGTCACTTAACCTCTATGTCTTTCTTTCTTCATCAGTGAGTTGCTGCTTATCCTCACAAACCATGCAGCAAGATTAAACCAGGTTTGTATAGCACTACTGATACGAAGTACTACAATTGCTGAAATATAGTCAAGCCTATTGAATTTTAATGTATTTGAAAAGTTTATATCACAAACTCACTTGCCTCCAACACATGACTGTGGAAAGAGGCAGGGGAAGATAACTAACATACAAGCAAGGAAAAAAAAAATTAAGTACTTCAGTAAGACTGCCCCTTTCCTGATGCATCAGTATCTCATAACAAAAGGCTGGACTTCTGAGTCAGCAGTAAACCCAGATTTATCTTCCCCTTACGAATACAAGTTTTTCCTGTTTACACTTTACTTTCAGGTTATAATTTTAAAAAGTTGATCTAAAGTATATGTATGAAACCAGGGGTTTAGTGCAACAAGCCAAATTCCCCCTGTGCTTAACTGTACTCTGCACCCTTATGCTGGGAGTAAATCTGACTCTAAAGTTTTCTTAAAGAACACTACTGGACTATATAATGACATGGGGACACAGAGGTAGAGCAATTATGGCCTCTCACTACAGGTCTAGGGGTGAGACTTCAAGCCCTGCTATGGACTCATGCCAAAGCAACCCCTAGGTGACCCAGTTATAGATAGATACTGGGTCAGGCTAGGGAATCAAAGGCACTTAGCCATATTACTCCTTTGCGCACAACAGGCTATAGAAGCTGGGGTGCCTTAAACACTATCCAGTGAGTTGTTAGGTGAGGGAGAACCTTTGAACTGACTTTGTTACCTGGAACATATATAAAATTATGTGCGAAGACGACAAAGTTCTAAGTGAGGTTATTTTAAAGTGCTTAATTATTTTCCTATGATATGGTGGTAATTTCTTGGTCTTGATATAAAATACAAGCAAGAAAAACAAATATTAAAACCATTGCATCAAAGGAACGTCTGAAAGGATCAACTGGAAAAAAGTAATATTTCTAGTCTAAAATGCACTTCCTACTGTTACAGAAAACCCATAAAAATTACAAGAATGGAAAGAGATTAAAGGAAAAGCTCATTTTTTCCATTTGTTTACGCTGTACATTTGATGACACCTTGTTTAGTCAGTGTCGGGGTTTACCTTCAGTTATATCACTCTGATGGGCTATAAGAAAGCCAACCTTAGGTACATTCTAACTTCAGCTTTTTGAGAGGATATTTACCAGTTAACACAGTTGGACCTCAACGTGAAGAGGCAGTAAACTGCAGCATGGACAAAGAAGAGGGGAGGGACTAAGAGCAGCAGACCCAAAACAGGTTTGTATTGTTGCTCAGATCACTTGGGGCACTGAAATGCAGGAGCAAAACAACTATTAAACCCCTACATTTCAAAGTGTCTTTTAAAAATATAGAAGCTTTTCATTAGCTATGTCCTAACATATTAGTGTAAGTTCTGAAGCAGTATTTTCCCCCTCTTATTTTTTTGTTTGCATACCAATAGCCAATGAAAAGTTTAATATGCACTGCCTAAAAACATTTATGACATTCTAAAATGCCACGGAAAGTTGGAACACAGAGCAAGTTTCATCTTGAAAGTACAGTTGAACTATAACCATTTAACCTACTAATGTCACTTTAAGTATTAGCTTTTCAACAAGCCTACAGCAAGGCAGGATATTAACACAGAGAAAGGCTGATATTAAAACAGAGAAAGGTAGTTTGTCCCAGTCTACTCCTCCTCTGCAGATATCCTTTTAAAAACTAACTATTCAAATATTCTGAATTATACTCAGAACTAAAAAACAACTGGAAGTCTGTAGCACAAAACAGACTTCCCATACTTGCTAAGGATAAAGAGCTATAGCAGCATTTCATTTGCAACAATTTATGGCCTTGATGGGCGGAGAGATCTCCTACTGAGACTGTAAGATACTGATATTAGCTGACTGTTGAGACACAGATGAGTGGAATCCTTTGCTACAAGCCTGTAGACTTCTATTGTAAGGGATTTCTTCTCAATTTGCAATTTGAATCCCCTCTTAAGAAATTCCAGACCTTCTCTGAATTTATTTTCAGTTTTTAAAAATGATGTATCCGGGAGTATTGCTCTTTGATATATGTTGCCCATTTGTCATAAAAGGGTTTCAAGAAAAAGTCCATTGCACTGAACAAACTAGTAATGAAACAATCAAATTTCATCTTCTCCCTTGAATCACTGCACTTGTAAATTTTTTTAGTATTTCAAACAACAGCATATAAGCAATACTGCAAGCCATCTTGACATTTTACAATATGCTAAATGTCTTGCATTTTGGGAAAGCAAGCTTAGAAGAGTCAGTTAAAAGCACTTATGGCATCTACACACATGCTCCAGGGCTCCAAGAGCTGCTCTAATTAAAGCACCTGCAACATCACATGTATTCAGCATCCTGTGCTTCAGAATGTTCGTGCAGATGCTTCAACTAAAGCTCATTTGACAAGCTTTAGTTCAAGTGCCCCCACCACCATTTTGACGTGACACAGAGGCTGTTGGGAGCAAGTTAAATTAACGTGCTCCAGCAGGCTTGACTGAGTCTGCTCTGACCCGTGTTAATTTGCAGATGTCCAGCACATGTATACGTGCCCTTAGACATTTAGGATCATAGGAAAGAGGCATGATCATCCTTGAGTAAATTATTCCTACCTGATCTTGAAAACTTCCAGGATGGAGATTCCACTGTTTCTGTAAGTAGCTCAGTCCAATGCTTGACCACCCTCAGTCAAAAAGTTCCTCCTCCTGATCTTCAACCTAAATTTCCTCTGCTGCACCTTGATTCCTAGTCTTGTCCCCTATGGCCACACAGAAAAGCCCACTGGCACCCTTTCTATAACTGTCCTTCAGGTATTTGAAGATCTCTCAAACCCCCTACTATCAGTCTTCTCTTTTCCACACTAATAAGGCTTTAAAAATAAGGATCATTTGCTATATAATTCTGCCTCTGTTTAAACACTCAAGCATACAATAAACAAGGAGCTACTTAACATCACTATTTTTCTGATGTTAAATAACAGAATGTTTTCAGGTAATTTGTGTCTAGTTATACAACTCCACGAGCCATTAAATATGGAAAATGTAAGTATTCATTGAAAGTTAAACTTATTTTTGCTGTAAAATTATTTTAACTGTTAGTTTCTGATACTTCTATTCAACACATCCTTATAAAACAGGAAAGCAGTGGGTTAAATTCAAGTTTCAAATACTGTATTAAGTTTAACCTTAAATTTTATGAATAATTGACACTGCCATTCTGCAGAAGTGTCCTCTCACATACCCAAACCTGATCATATTGCAAAAATATACTGGAAATAAAAATGACAGATGAGAAGAAATGCAGAAAGAGTCATGTCCAAGTTTACATGGGAATAGATGCTAAAGGAGAAAGCAGGCATGCAGACAAGAGACAAAGAGACCAATGGAATTTGGTGCAGTTTTCATCTATCTTTGTATTAAAGGCTGCAATTAACTTGGAATTAAAAAAGTGTTCAGACTGCTTGAATGTTAATTTATGTCCTGGACTACCTTACCCTTGTGAAGTTACTATTTCAAGCAAAAAAACCCCCAAAAAACCCAAACAAACTAAAAGTAAAGAAAAGCAAATTACCAAAGTAAAGAAGAGTATATTAATGACATACTATACTGTGATCTGTTATAGAAATTCTAGATTCCCTTTATAATTATTTACTAAAAAAGTTTTTCTTACAAATAACCACGGATGATTTTGCTTTTGGGCCCCATATCCAGTGCTAGGTATGTCACATTACCTTAAACTAAAGATGTAACTGGTTTAAGTTCACTTTCCCTTTTAAAATGAATAAATTTAAAAATGCATAAACTAGCTTAAACTTCCTTTCAAAGGGGATATGTAGGGGGAGTGGGAAGAGAGAACAGTTATTCTATTTCCTGAAGGCCAATTATAATAAGAAGCCTAAGCTTGAATTGTACACATTAAAAATACATCTTTGCTATTGAGAATTCTGGTGACATAAGCCACTCTAAGCTTCATTCTCCTGGTTTATACAGTTACCAGAAACCTTTGATTAAAATACAACCTTATGTCACCATTGGGTGTAGTTTATTTTTTGCAAAAAATATAAGAATGTCAGAATTGGATTACTGAAATATCCTAAAGTTTAAAAAGTGACTTTGAATAGCTCGATGTTATGTACCTCTGGAGAGTACTAAGCACACTGCATCCAATATGCATTCGTTATCTTAAAATTAAAATAAAGCGTGTAGGCAGCAGCATTTGGACAACATAGCTCTCTTTGCAATTGCTGTTAACCCCTACATTTTTATGTGGTGAACAAGGACTAGCTACATGACTCCCATTAAGATAAGCAGACAATGTATGACCAAGTCTCTGGGCAGTGGTCTGGAAAAGAAAGGGTTGATGAAGTAGGGTACAGAGCAGTTACTTATCCAAGGCCTTTCCTTTCTGGCACAAAAAGTAAGTAACAGCAAAAGCAAGAAAGAATTTAACGCGGCTGATCTGAAAAATGGGGATTTCTCAAGAGATCAACCCAGTATGAAGAATCCTCTCTTCTGCAACTTTAAAGTTGATTTATCATTCTTACCATCCATCTCCAGTGGTCATTTAATATAACTTACTGGTCTGTCAGCTAAGACTAATATAAGATTACTACATTACCTGAAACATGTCATTACTGAATAGAGTAAAAGCACGTGAGAAATAAGCCTTTGCGCTTCATTGCCTTCCCCTAAACAACTAAAATTCCTTATGGAAAAGTAGCTCCCAAGTGTGTCCATTAGCTATTTTTCAGAACTTAGATTCATGAAGTTTAAACCAAATTCAGTTCCTGTCCAATTTCATTATTTAAATAGCAAATGGTTTTAAATTAAACTAAGCTTTTGAACTCATTTCGTCTGAACTTGAGTACTCAGAGACCTATCCTAACAATGTACTTTCAAGGTAAAATTTCCAAGTTATAATTTTGTATTCCAACACAGCCTAGAGCTAATGTTAATGGACAATGTATACACCAAGAAGTGGTTTAAACTGTAAAATTCTTGTGTCCTACCTATATTAGTCTTAGCTGACAGACCTAAGTTATATTAAATGACCACTGGAGATGGGTGGTAAGAGTGAGAAGCCAACTTTGAAAGTTGCAGAGGGTGCAGAAAGTTCTTGTGTCCAGACTGAACATGCTGATATAAAGGAAGCTTGAGTTGGGAGGGATTGATTAGTAAGAAACAAGCACAGGGCAAGCACTGTACACACTATACATGCTCATAATATAGGGTTGCTCTAGAATAAATCTTGTATATCCACTACATCAGTAGGGGCCAGCCTTTTGCTATGTGTGCCACAAATTAAGCCCCACAATCTTCCCAAATGCCACTTCAATCCCCCTTCCGTGCCCAACTTGCTTCTCTTCTTTCCGCTCCCTGCCCCATCTGCTGCTGTGCTTCCACTTCCACTTCTGGTGCATGTACTGTGTTTGCATCCCTGCACTGCATCAAAATTCCGAAGGAGGAGTTATCCCAACCACTACGGATTCTGTTTCATAATAGAAGAAATATAGTCAGGATTTGATATTCTGAGATTTTTTTTTTTTTAAATGGGTGAAAGAGTTGAAGCAGGGCTCAGTAGGTCTCCCCTACTCTGTGAAGCATGTGTGCAAAAATTCTCCACTAACAATTTTTGGTAATGAGCTGCTTTACATGAGCTTTGTATGTCCTAGCATGATGAGCTTCCCAAGCACAGTGTGCAAGAATTACTTTTTTCAAACTTTGGTTTTATTGGGACTTTCTTTGGAGGCTTACTGCAACCTTCCACAATTTAAAGTACTGTACAACTGGCTAAATACACTCCAGGGACTTCCATCCTCCTCTGAAACAGACCTGCATGTTAGCTCTGATAAAGAACCTCCATTTTTCATAAGCGATCATTGTTTCTTAAAACAGAAAATGTTCGATTTCTTTTATTTATTTATCCTTTCTATGACTAGGTGACTCATCACCTGGACGAAAGAAAAGTGGTTGACATCATATACCACAACTTCCAGAAAGCCTTTGACCTGGTATCCCACAAGGTACTGATCAGAAAACTGGAAGATATCGGGCTCAACTGCAGGAGCATCAAGTGGGTGCAAAACTGGTTGCGGGGTAGGACAAAGAGTCCAAATGAATGGATCGGTGTTGACCTGGAGAGATGTGGGCAGTGGCATACCCCAGGGGTCGGTACTTGGCCCAGTGCTATTCAATATCTTCATTAATGACCTGGATGAGAGGGTGAAGAGCCCATTGGCCAAGTTCGCGGACAACACCAAGATAAGGGGTTGTGCGGACATACCCGCAGATAGGCTGCAGGTACAAACACACCTAGACAGGCTGGCATGTTGGGCAGAACAGAACCAGATGAGGTTCAACATCAAGGAATGCAAAGCGCTGCACCTGGGAAGGAAGAACCCCCAGCACACCTATAGGCTGGGCATCACTAACCTGACCAGTACTACAAATGAAAGGGATCTGGGGGTAACAATAGACCCCAGCATGAATATGAGCTTGCAATGCGATGCAGTAGCCACTAGGGCCAATAAAACTCTGGCATGCATCAATTGATGCATCTCCAGTAAATCCAAAGAAGTGATTCTCCCACTTTACTCAACATTGGTGCAGCTGCAGCTGGAGTATTGCATCCAGTTCTGGGCACCTGACTTCAACGAGGAGGTACTACAGTTCGAGAGGATTCAGAGAAGGGCCACCTGCACGATCAGGGACTTGTATGGAAAGCCATACGAGGAGAGGCTAAGGGAGGGATCATGGAAAAGAAAGCTGAGGGGGACCTGACTGTAGCTTACCACTATATCAGAGGTGTATATCAGGGGCTCGGTGAACAACTGTTCCCCAGGGCGCCCTGGGGGAAATCTAGAAACAGCCACAAACTCCTAGAAGATAGTTTCATGGTGAACATTAGGAAAAACTTCTTTACAACGAGGGGGCCCAGATTATGGAACAAGCTCCCCCCACACGTGGTACAATCCTCTACTCTAGAGGTTTTCAAAAGAAGACTGGACAGTCACCTGTCTGGTGTCGTCTGACCCCAGGTGTCTTTCCTGCTCATGCAGGGGGCTGGACCCGAAGATCCTTTGGGGTCCCTTTCAGCCCTATGATTCTATTTCTATCGAGTCTTCTTGTTAATATCCTTTTCTTCGTGTGTGTGCATATGTCATACTATTGCTTCAAATCTTGTCACTAAACAAGAATTACATATTCTGTTCAGAAACTTTTCCATAGTTATATATGAATACAGAAGTATCTTTCCATGTTCCACTTATCCTTCTGGATAAAGAGTATGCATGACTTCTAGAACTACCCCCCACATAAGCCCTGAGGGTCAGTACTGAACCCAATGGAGGAGATAGGGTTGTTCTGCAATTAACACATTTAGTCTCCATGCTAAAGCTCTCTGGATTCCAGAGATGTAGGCTTCATTTACATTCGAGTTTTCCCAGCGTGATTATGCTACAACATTGTTTTCCATATAGTTAACTAAAAGCCCAGGAGTACATGCTTATTTTTTTTCTTGCCAGACCTAAGTAACGGATAAACAGTTACTCTTGTGATAATAGTTAAAACTACAAACTCTCATAAGGCAGCAAAACTTCTAAAGTATAGATAAGGCTAAAGTGTGGAAGCCAAACTCTTTTATCCTTGCCAGCAGCAAAGAATATCACCTGTAGCTAGTGAGATGAGCTACGTTAACAGATTTTGAGGTCAACAGCTAAAACTACATCCTTAAAAACACACTGCATCCTCTACTTCATGTTAAACATTTTCTATTTTCCCTAACTTTCTCAATATTTTCTATCTTCCCCATTGTTATCTCTTCAGAATAGGAAGACCAAAATGGTGTCCTCATCTACTGCTTCCTGGTTTCTTTTTGTAAAATGGTACTAATTACCATAGCAAGGCCTCCTGCAATATCACAATGGATGACAAATAAGCAGCAAACCTCCAGTATGAGCAACACAGCCAAGTGAACTCAAATTAAAAACCATGCTTTGGTCTAATATAATCTCAAATAACAGGACAAGAAACAAAATGATACTCAGTATCATTTTCTACAATTTTAGCAGCCCCATATAACTCAGAAGTTGCTTTGCCTGTCAAGCAGATGTAATCGGGTCAGTATTTTTAGGAGAAGTGCTATTTACATTCCTACTAGTAAAGGAAACTTCTCCTCATTTCTGGTCTACAGTTTATTGTTCTGTTTTACAGGTAATTTAACTGTCTCGAATTGATGAGCCCAGCTATCTGTCACCCAATTCAAGGCACAAGGCATTAGTCCATCACTGAATGAGTATCATTTCTCCACCATCAAAAGGACATTTTTAAAGATGAAATAATTTGAGCTGGATCCAAATAGTTTTATTTTATTTTTAAAAGCAAGAGTTTGGAGATCTTTCTGCTGTTTTGTGTAGATTTTCTCTACCCTGAGAGTGTTTGCTCCAATGCTTCCCTCCTCCTGCCAACCCCATCCTTCAGCCCATTTTAGCTTCCCTCTACACATCCCATTCTTATCCTCTTTTCCCATGCCCTATCCCCCTCATTCCCATTTAATATATTTCCCTCTTTTATAAACCTACAAAACAAAATTGCAGAACTAGAACATTTACTACACCACATTTTTAGGCTGCTATTTCACACCCTGCATTATTCCCCAACCCTATGTGTATCCCATTTATTTAAAACTAGACAGTCTGTCACAGAGTGTACAACTCCTCTGGTCTTCTTTATTACCTAGCACAATACAGGTCCAGATCTGGCTTGATTTAAACATCCCTGTAATAAACGCGATTAAACAGTGGACTGATCCAATTAGTAGGGCCTGACTTAAGATAAACTGTTATGAATCTGGGGGGCTGCCACCACTTGAATACTTTGCATCAGGACCATATCATGATAGATCAAGATATGAGTGTAAATCTTAGTAGCGTCTTATTCTGGAGAAACACAAACACAACTTCTTAAAAAGAGATAAGCACAGCAAGATAAAAAGGAAGGAAAGTCTTCAAGAAAAGAAAAAAAAAATCACTTCCTATTCAATTCCTAGAATGGCCTTAACTTCAGAAGGCAGACTTTTCATCCTCTTGATAAAAGGACCTGATCCAACTCTTACAGGTCCTTAACATGAATCAGTCAGGCCCTAGAAAGAAGAACACAGCAACTGCAGCTGTCAAAAAAAAAAAAAAGTTTTAAAACGGCTGAAAAAAAGATATTTTCCACAGCAGAAAGAGAGGCTGATCTGCATAACCTGCCTATGCCATCCTAAATAATACCAGGTTTTTGTTTGTTTTTTTTAAACCGGGGACAAAATCTAATGATATGGTTGGTCCGCAATAAAGACATTTAAGAAATTCTAACCAGAAGGAACTCTTTGCTGTGGCAGCAAGTGAAGTATTTAGCACAACATCTGAACAGTGCAAGTCAGCAAATAAACTGTAAAACCATTAAAACCTGACCCTTAATCAGGAAACCTGTTGTATTATGCTTAAAAGAAAAAGGCCACTCCCTATCCTATTGCTAATTGCAGGATATGGCATCTTCTCTTGCTAAAAATCAATGCTGTACTTATGACTGATGAAAAAATTGGTATTCAGCAGCGCCTGGAAAAGAAAGGCATTCCATAACCTTGTAACTGTTGCTGTATTCCCAACTATTCTCTCTGGTGCATATCCTGTTTTACCAAAAGATTTTTTTTTTAAATCTTTCCAAAATTGTCAAACAGAAGCATATTGTTTACAGCAAGTTACTCATTTATAGGATTGATCATGCACTAGACATGTCTATGTTTATACATATAGATATGGAAGGAGAAGGAGAGAATATAAAGAATTACCATAATAATCTCATTTTTCTATGTTTGGGGTTACAGGATGGACTCCATCTGGGATGCACATGTCACAGTACTAAATGTTATCTAACTTCCTCTGGTCATTATGCATTATAAGGCATTCCAGGAAAAATAATGAAGTGCTATGTAACCTTTCCTAACAAAGCAGCACAGAAAAGGCCACTAAAACCATAGTGTTGAAAGGGTTCCCGGATAATGTTGGTCAGAACTCATTACTGCAGCTGAGTCATTACATCATGGCTGCTGCAAGCACTGCGGGGAAGAGTCTTTCTACTACAACAGGACACCCATATCCTAATTGGAGTCTCTGGGCAGTACTGTACTATAAGCATTTGATAAGCACACAAGCAGAGACCATTACACCACAAACCAAAGTATCCCTGATGCACTACTCTAGGGATTAGGGTTGTGGTACTGGTAAGTAGGCACATACTCTTACTGATTAGTCAAGTTTTCCGTACTAGTTCAACACAAACTTTTGCCTCTGTTCCTGGCATTTTAAAAAATAAAAGACCTCCAAATTCAGTTATATATATAAATATCTACATCCAAAATGGTGCTATGTAGATGCACCATGACATTATAAAGAATCCTCAAGTTCTATTCTAGCTCCTACTGTACACCTTATTTTAAAAGAGGAATGTTTAAAAGTTTGAAGGGCAGCAGAGAGGGTAAGACCAAGCTAATACTAGCTGCTGATGACTACTGAATACATCTAAAAATTCTGAAGTTACCAGAAAGTTGGAAAAACAACAATTACTGGCTATACCAAAACCATAATTTCCTGGTAGCTTGAATTTGGCTCCTAGAAATCAAAAAGGACAAAATAAAATAGTCATTGCCCCTAATAAAATATTCTGCTGTCTGTGCTGTTACTCCCTAAATACAGACTAACATTCCCACTGTTGTACTATGCATGGCACATTACCATTCACAATACAGCTGTGCTCCACAGGCACTTCAGGAAAGATTTAGAATCAAAGACCTAATATGCTCAGGTTGTTCTCAGTGATTCTGTATCACAACTGACCGCTCTTCTAAAATCAGGAATCTACTTCCCTTACATTGACCACAACGATCTGCTCAATAGCAAGAAATCCTTAGGAACATATGCCCTCTACTTTATGGCATCCAGAAGCATACAAATAGTAATTATTTAGATTGGCCTAGAACTAGGTTCTAAGTAGCACTTTTCCTTCTTATATCACCACAACTAAGATAGCTGGTCAAACTGAGCATGTCTGAAACATCTTGAGTGGTTTCTGCTACGCATTTCCATTAAATCAGACCAGACGATGGAAACTACATACGCCTGTTTTCAGTTTTAGAAGTTACCCAAAAAAAAACACGTGTGAAGTCCAGATTATTTAAGCAAGAGCAAAGAACGGAATCCCCGATCCATCAAATGAAAGCCACTGCTGAAAAGCTGCCTGTGTAGAACAGAGAAATCAAGTCTAGTTTGGTTTCTTCCTCCACAATCATGACACTTCAGTGCCTCACATGCTGTCCTAGGTAAACCCATTCATTAACCAACCAACCAATCTGCAACCCCTGCAACAAAATGCAATGTACTTTTCATTCATTAGTGTATTACATCAGGAAATCCAAAGTCTCTTAAACAATGACAAATCAGGAATGAGATTCAGTGCAAGTATTTAAGGATGAAGAGCAAGAAACATATCATCAAGGGAGAAAATCTTACTGGGAAATTAAACCAAAAAGTGGTGTAAGGTAGCAGGACAAGCTAAAGTGAACAAAGAACAAAAATATGAGTTCTCATAGGAAAAACCCTCTACATCAATGAGTTTGTCTCAAAGTGCTTATATAGATTTTAAAATGGTATACGTGAAGGTGAGGACAAGATCAGGTACCTTCCTCTCACAGGAAAAATAGATCAGTTTCACAGCTGCTGAACAGTTTCATAGTTTCTAGGGTCGGAAGGGACCTGAGCAGATCATCTAGTCCGACCCCCTGCCATAGCAGGAAGAGCACTGGGGTCAAACGACCCCAGTAAGGTGGTCATCCAACCTCCTCTTAAAAACCCCCAGGGTGGGAGCCTGCACCACCTCACTTGGA